TGATATATGTGAATAAATGTGGATAAGAGTATATTTACATCAAAAATCTAATGTCATTAGGAACTGGCTGTTGATTTTTTTTCTCAGTCACAGCTTTAGTCATTCTCTGTTGACATTAGCTTCCTTTCACAGATCTGTCATAACACAGACACATGGAGCTGTTTCCTCTGAAATCCATAGTTTATTTAAAACATTGTATAATATAGTATAAAAAAAGAATGTAATAAATAGAAAAAAAGGACAGCAAATGAACAGTGTAGCTGTTAAGCACAGCAGTAAAAGATGAGATCAAAGTCAACAATGAACTAGTCTTGTGTATACTGTGTCGCCTGCACACTGCCATATCTTGATACAGTCAGACGATTTAACATATGACAAGATCGCAGGAGAAGCTTATTGAACTGAGTAGAAATATCTGTGATATGGAGGTAAACCAGGGGGTTCAAAACACTATTCAGACACACAAGACCACGACTTATCTGATGAGCACTGAAGACTCCATTATTCCATGTAGGGCATTGCCCCTTTTTTAATAATCCTCTTGCATAAAGGTTGAGGTTCCTAAAAATATGATATGGGATGTAACAAACTGAGAAGAGAAGAATCAAAATAAACAACAGCTTTAAGCTTCTTTGTTTTACTTCCTTGTCAATGGTATTACTTTGGCAGAGAACCAAAATCACATGTCCATAGCAGCCAAGTAGGATAAGGAACGGGATGCAAAACCCAGTGAGTGTCTGTCCAAGACTGTATATCAGGTAATCCTCGACATACTGTGTAGAGGTGGTATGGTAGCATTTTGCGGTTTCATTTGTTTTGGTGGTGTTGTTGGTGGATGTTTTGAGGTAGAGCATGTCTGGAAGACTTTGAACACTCACCAACACCCAAACCATGACTGAGATAGCCACAGTGTTACGGACAGTCATCCTTCCCATCGCTTTCAGTGGATGGACAATAGCCAGATACCTGTCCACACTTATACAGGTGAGGAATCCAATGCTGCCGTATAAATTCAAGTTGAAGCAGAATCTTGTGATCTTGCAGAAGGCATCTCCAAATATCCAATTACTGTTCATAAAATAGTATGCTGACAAAAATGGTAGTGTTGGAAGGAACAAAAAATTGGCAAGTCCAATGTTTAAAAGAAACACATTGTTTCCAACTTTCTTCTGTTTCTGCAGGATCGACTTCATCCCCCATCCATTTGCTCCCAGACCAATAATCAATACCATGGTGTAAATGGACGGTAGAATTTTGCTTTCAAAGTCATATTCAACAGAAGTACAATTACCAGGCATTGTGTGTCTGTACAACCTCACTCCTCTGTGGCAGAATTACAAATGAGGCAAGTGAAAGAAAACCAGCTCATAGAGTGATCGGTCATGTCCCTGCTTGTAAACCAGCACCGAGAAGCTGGAAAGAGATTCCTAATAATTGTGCAACACCTTGTGTATACATGCTTGTGAAACTGTCTGTTTGCTTGCTAGCGCACAAATACTGTTTACCTTTCTATCAATGCACCACACAAAAGCATGCTTGTTATTGTATTGTTATCATTTGTGTCATTCAAAACATTTTTTTAACTAAAACTTTCAGAAAAGATCGCATTTTCAACTCCTAGACATTGAATATTCATTATAACTTGGATTACAAGGTTATTTTTATTGCATGTAACACTCTGTGTGAAAGTTAGTTTAGCATATGAAATGCAGATGCATATTATTATTTATCAGTAAACACTTTGTTTGACAGCAAAGCTTTGTGATCTAAACAGATGGGCATCTAATAACCTCCGTTTGTGGTTGTTTTGCACACGATGGTAGCTGTATTTTAAACCATTTAAGACCTAAAACATCATTTTACATAAGTAAGTATGTCACGGCTGGCGGAGTGAGCCGTGTGGTGTGGAGGAAAAGGAGGACCCAAAATGCGGCAGTGGCTGATGATTCGAGTGACGTTTATTTACAAGGTGGCAGTGGCAGAAACGGGCAACGAATCGTGAGAGATTACTAACGGAAACCTAAACTGGGAGAAACTAACTGACAAACCTGAGACCATACGAAAGGGGTGCAGGGCAGAGAGACGCAGACTAAGGAACAGGATACCAAGAAACACAGATGAACGCAGTGATACATGGATGAATGCAGACGAGCCGACAAGGAACACAGACCGACACCCACTAAATATACACACACAAGGTAATCGGGTAATCACACACAGGAGGTAAGAACAGCTGATCTGAATACACATGATGACTGGAGGACACAAGCTGAACACAATGACAACAGACACAGACCTTCAGAATAGAGCAGGACATCCAGAACACGAGCCTTCAAAGTAAAGCAGGAAACACACAGACTGATTTACAACACAACACGGGGACATGAACAGAGCACCAAGGACAGACACAGGTAGGGCTGAATATACACCAAACTTCAGGTTCAACCCTAAACCAATACAAAATCAGAATAAACACAAAACGCTGGGTCAATGACCCAGGACCATGACAAAGTATGTCATTGCCTGGGAGTCTTGATGGGTTATTTGTGATTTCTGATTGTTGTTGAAAGTTTTCAGTTTGCTTTTAATTATTATTCCACAGCTTTAGTTTTAATTACTATTGTAAATGGCCTGTATTTGTATATTCGATCGTCTTCTTTGAATTCATTCATGTTTTTGTTTTCATGGATTCTCCATAGTTTTTCTTGTCACTTGATTTAGCTGTTGTCTCTGTGTTTTTCTACTGTTGCCTGTATTCCCCTGTTGTGTTATTTCCTGTTATTTCTGTAGTCATTTATGTCTTGTGGGTGATTTTGTTGTTGTTATAGTGGTGTTTTTTTGCTTATGGACTCTTTGCTTATGTTGGGGGTTTTTTTATGAACTACTTTTTTCTTTTTGTTGAACTCACCTAGAAATCTGCATTTAGCTCCTCATCATGCAATACATAATAGAGGCGGAAAGAAGGCATAGCAAGCTGGATAGAAGCAGAGGATTGAAGTGAGTGGGCAGAAGACGTAGTGCTTAACAGATCAGAAAGGTAAGGAGGAGCAAGGTTCTGAATGGCCTTGAAGGTTAGCAGAAGAAGTTTGAATATTATCTGGAATTTCACTGGGAGCCGGTGTAGTTCCTTAAGAACAGTGGTAATGTGCTGGTAGGAGGGGTTCTGGTAATAATGTGGGCAACGGAGCTTTATACCAGTTGAAGCTTATGAAGGGATTTTTGGGGGAGACCACGGAAGAGAGAATTACAGTAGTCAAGGCGGGAGGTAACGAGACTATGGACAAGAATGGACATAGGATAGGACATAGAATGGGTGGAAAGAGAAGGACGTAATCTGTTAATGTTGTGTAGATGGAAATAGGCTGAGCAGGTGAGATTATTGATGTAAGATTTAAAGGATAGTGAACTGTCTAGAATGACACCAAGGCTCTTACCCTGAGGTGAAGGGAAAACTGTGGAGTTATCGATAGTGAGAGAGAAATGATTTGCCTTCAAAAGGTTGGATTTAGTACCAATAGGAAGGATTTCAGTTTTATCCTCATTAAGCTTTAGAAAATTACAGTTGAACCAGGATTTTAATTCAGTTAGGCATTCTATAAGGGAAGAAGGTGGGAGGGAGGAATCAGGCCTGGAGGAGAGATATAACTGGGTGTCATCAGCAAAACAGTGAAAGTGAAGATCAAATCTGAAGAAAATGGTACCATGAGGGAGGATATTATGAAGAGAAGAGAGCCTAACACTGAACCTTGGGGTACACCAGAAGTGACTGGGGATAGACTAGAGAGAAATGATTTACCGGTAAGTTGAATAAAATGGGAGCAGTCAAGAAGATATGACTGGAACCAAGCTAAAGGTGTGTCAGAGATGCCAAGAGACAACAGAGTGAGAGATAGTGTTGAAGGCTGAGATCAAATCCAAAAGGATGAGAATGTTGAGAAGACTAGAGTCGGCTCCGATTAGAAGATCATTTTAAGTAAAGACGTTTCTGTACTGTGACATGAGTGAAAACCAGATTTAAATCTCTCCTACATGTTATTATTAACGAGGTGTGAATGATAAATAAACACTTCTAAATAAAAAGAACCCTTATATTTATTTACTGATTATTCTTTCTGTGCCCCTATTTACCTCAGATGACAGATCTCCTAAAATTTTGACTAAAAGCCATATTTTTGACTGAGAAAAACATAATCCTACCACTTTTACTTACCACTGGTGTTTGATGAGGTTCCTTTGCTGGAATGTAGCATTTTCTTTATTCCAAACATGATTCTGCTAATTTAAAGCAAATAACCTGCTAATTATAACACATTTGTGAATATCTTAACTTTAATAACAAAGTATAAAGTAGTATTGCTTCTGATAAAACCTCAGAGGCTTTAAACCTTTATTAGGAGTGTATTTACTTCGCTGTCTGTGGTAAATGAACATCTGTGTAACATTTACTGGCATAGTGAGAGCGGAAAAACGGTGTTAGAATGATTTTATATGAGATATCCTGTGGTATTTACAGAGGATATCATAATTGTCTGCAGTGCAGTTAACTGTTTCACAAAAACTCTTGTGTATTCTTGCAATCTTGAATTGTATTCTTGAATTGATTTACCATCTTTAAAAATATTTGCAAAGCTGATTTTCCTCAAATATTTGGAACATTTATCTTCAGTTGCTGAAAATGTGTTGGGCTTTAAGGTAAGTACATTAAAACATAAATGAGATCTGGACAAAGCAGTTTATTTTACTTTTAAACGACAGACTTTAAAAAAACATCCACTATGCACGTACTATCAAAAATAAGGGAAATCTGAATAAAAAGCCTTTAATTATAGTTAGACAGCAGAACAACAATGAGGAGGCTTGAATTCAAATGCTTAAAGTAAAGATATACAGTATATACAACATAATCAAAACTGACCTTTACTTTCAGCGTGTGTACATACATGTGATATGCTGTTAACATTAACCTTCTATCAGCAGTGAAGCATGCAGCACCATATCCTGTTTGTTCTTCACACATTCAAGCATCACAAATGCAATAACTCGTCTTTCAAGTGTTTTTTCAAGTATTATTTTTGCTTTTTAGTAAAAAGCAACATTTTTGTGTTTCTTACAAAAGTCTCAGATGAGGCGTACTCCTCATGTTCATCGGCACATTTCAAGTATCCGTGAGGTTAGAGGTGTACAGACTAGTGACAGCTTGGCGAACTTGTTGAAGTAGCTGTCTGAGCTGAGAACAAACATCTTCACTTACATGCAGGTAAACTAGAGGATTGAGCGCACTGTTCAGACACACAAGGCCACGGCTTATCTGATGACAAATATAGACTCCATTAGACCATTTATGACATGTCCCCTTGATTACGCTTAGTCTTGACAAGAGGTTGAGATTTTTTAATATATGATAGGGGATGTAACAAACAGAGAACAGAAGAATCAAGATGAATAACAACTTTAAGCTTCTTTGTTTCAGTACTTCATCAATGTTATCATTGTGGCAGAGAACAGCAATCATATGTCCATAGCAGCTGAGGGTGATGAACAGGGGGATGCAAAAACCAGTAAGTGTCCGTCCCAAACTGTATTTCAGATAATCTTTAACATACTCGTTAGAGGTGGTATCAAAACACTTCTTAGTATTATTTATGGGTGATTTGGGGAAGAACATGTCTGGAAGACTTTGAACACTCACCAGCAGCCAGACCATGACTGAGATAGACACAAAATGAGTCACAGTTATTCTCCCCATCATCCTCATTGGATGGACAATAGCCAAGTACCTGTACACACTGATACAGGTGAGGAATCCAATGCTGCCGTATAAATTCAGGTTGAAGAAGAATCTTGTTGTCTTGCAAAAGGCTTCTCCAAAGATCCACTGATCACCCTTGAAGTAGTACACCATCAGAAAAGGGAGTGTGAGCAAATACAAAATGTCTGCAAGTCCAAGGTTGAAAACGAAAACAGAGACATTCCCCAGTTTCTCCCATTTCTGCAGCACTGACCTCAATCCCAGCCCATTAGCCACCATGCCAGTGATGAATACTAAAATGTAGACAGGTGGCAGGAATTTTCCTGTAAAGTCAAAGCTGATGCAAGAGTTGTTCATTGCGTCCTTGATAGCAGTCGGTACAATTCCTCCTCCTCGATGAGTGAGAGCCTTCACTGCACAGATCAAAGCACACACACATTTATACACTTCCTGAGTTGCGTCTGTAGGCTATGAGATAACTGACTCACCTCTTTCACTGAAAACAGGAAAATGTAACCATGCAGGAGTGGCAGTTTTCACACGTTTATACACTCTGTTGTTTGCTCTCATCCTGACAAAGCCATATGAGAAGTGAAAAGTGAAATAAGTTCAGCTCTAGTTTTTAGCCTATGCTTCCACAGTCTGAATCTCTGGGTTTTCAACATTTATCTTATGCCTGTTCTACAGCGTGGTTCTGTCCTGCCTGTTTAGCAACAATGAGACTGCTATGCAACAGAAAATGACCACA